ATTGATTTCCTACTGTACTGCTGCAAGCAAGAAGCAACTACTTTGGATTATATAGGCAAAAGGTGATTTTTGGCTACTTCATTTGGATCATCAGGACTATGGTGAGGAATCTGAGGGCCTTAACATAGTGCAGGAGTATGTCAAATCGCACTAGATACAGTGCATCTTGCTCTGTTCGCTTGGCTGATAAGCCATGGCTGAAAGTACTGTTGGTTGATTTGTTGTGAGAGAAAAATATTGTTCGTTGGCTGAAAAAGTACGGCTTATAAGCCAAGCGAACAGGAAGTATACTTGTGTCCTACCTTTAAGACCTGAGTTTAATTCTGTGCTTGGTTCTTGGGCTTTGCTAGGAGATTAGAACAATTTTCAAGTGTGAGCCAAGGAGTGATGTGAACGATTTGGATATCTTAATTCTTGTTTTAAGTGTTGCCATCTGGTGTTAATACAAATCATTAAGGGCTGGTATTCTGCTTCTGTTCTTTGTTATCTTTCTGTGCCAACTGCCCAGTTGTTTGTGGTTTGCCTGTTTAGGGTGTTTGCGATGTACTCAATCTGATTGAATTTAGGTGAATTTTGTTTCATTGGAACAAGTGATCAGCAATTTTTTTATTTAATACATAATTTTCTAAAATATAAAATTGATGTCATTATATTTGTATTGAAAAATAATTATGACTTTTATAACATAATGTCATTAATAGAGCAATTGTCTGTAAATAAAGTCATGAAATATGCCCAACAGGCAGTAGCATTGTTTGTTTAGCATTTTAATGCGGTATCTCTGCCACGGAAACTCTGTTGGTTATAATCAACAGCTAGAACGATCTGTTTGATTGGAGTCAATCGATCTACACTGCTACTCGGTCTCACCCGTCGATGCCAATCAAAATTCCATAAAACAAAATTGAGGTCTGTTTGGTTCATGTTCTTCTAGACAATTCCTGAGCTGGTGGCGACACAAAACAGACCTTGGATACCTTGCAGCAGGATGGCCGTGGGACGCCGGGAACATGAGCCAACGAAACACACAGGGCAACGGCCGTATCATGAAAGCAATGAATCATGCCATGCCACATGTTGTACTTTTGAGGAAGAGGCTAAGCAGGGATAGGAAATAAGCCAATCAAGCTGGAGCACACGGGCGATGCTGAGAAGAAAAAAACTGGAAGGAAAATCAGGAGGCTGCATCAAACATTAAGTCATCATGGATTAGAAATTTGAATGGCAGCGAACGAAAACAACAATGCCAAGAATTTCAACAAAAGCAGAAACAAAATTGTTTTAAACAGTAAGTCCGGAGCAACTTACTGCTGCCTGAGGTTTGCCAGCACTGTGTAAGAAAGAAATTGTACCTTGAGGCATTAAGGACGATGTAGCGTGCAAAATAAATAATGCCGAGACCATGGAATTGACAATTGAGCTTCGCTTACGATGTACTGTAGCGTGCAGAACTGGGCCGGCGGGTGTGTAGAACTGATAACACGGGCCCAAGCCACTATTAAGCCCACAGACGCGGACGGGGCGCGAGGCTGGAGGATCTGGTTGCGCTTGGGTTTCCAGAAATGTGCTGCGCCACCCCCACTCTGGTGCAGTGGTGCGACGGTCCTGGGTTTGTGTGGCGCCTCACCTGGGCGCTTTTTCACCGAAAACCGAACCGAATCAAACTGAAACCGAACCGAATAATCGGTAGTTCGGTTTTTGGTTGATTTTGGTTTTGGATCTGGGAATTTCGGTGTTCCGTTGAGGAGTCGGTTTCGACCAACAGAACCGAACTACCGCAGAATCAAGTCGCTCGCAGCAATCTCTCGTGTCCGTCTCGATCTCCTCTTCCCAGTGTTTGATGGCCGATGCAGCCCACCAAGGCCCCATGGCGTACCTATCTAGCTTGAGGCCCGTGAGGCCTTAGCCCTCTCCCTCTCGCAGTCTCCCCTCTCCCGTGACCCGTCTGACTCCCTCTAGCCTCTCTCCCTCTCCTATTCGACTCCCCATCCCAAACCCCTAATCCGGCCCAACAAGCGACGAATCTGGCGAGGTGTTCTAGCGAAGCGCAGGTTAAGCAAGGGCGAGGCGAGGTGTGGACAAGCGACTACTACGAGTTGCGGCGGCACTGCAGGCGTGGCACGAGCGAAGGCGGCGTGCTTTCGGTGTATCCTTGGCGCTGGCTGCTCCTGGCGCGACGGAGGCGACAATGGCGCTGGATGAAAGCAATGACGATGGTGGTGGCGTCGCGGATGCGAGCAGGCGGCGACGGTCTGTACGAGTGGAAGGTGGAGCCTGCGGCGCATCTACTACTCCATGTGAAGCTCCGCGCGTTGCGGATGCGAGCGACTGCGCGGGCTGGAGGTAGGCTTGGCTTTCTCGGTTTAAACTGAAAAACCGAAGTAAGAAACCGAAGCTGAAATGGGCGGTGTTGCATTCTCTAATTAACCGATCGGCTTCTCATTCTTAAAAACCGAACTTTTGTGAAACCGAATAAACCGAACCGAATTGTCGGTTTAAACCGAATGCCCAGGCTGAGTGGCGCCGAAGGGAAAGAAAGGAAAAAAAAAGATCGAAGCAAAAAACAAAACAATAGCGTCGAAAGCAGGACTCGAACCTGCGCAGGCAAAGGCCAACAGATTTCGAGTCTGTCTCCTTAACCACCCGGACATATCGACCACTTCGCTACATGGGCCTTGTTTAGATCACCTCCAAATTCCAAGTTTTTTCACTCTCTCTCCATCACATCAATTTTTAGCCGTTTGCATGGAGCATTAAATGTAGGTAAAAAAAATAACTAATTGCACAGTTTAGTTGGAAATCACGAGAT